TGGCACATGTTCATCTACATTTGCTTGGCTACCAACTCACAGAATTTCGCCAACACCGCGGTTTTGGTCACCAGCGTCAGAAACTTCCCCGACCGAAGAGGGATCATTCTGGGGCTTCTCAAGGGCTTCGTTGGCATCGGAGGAGCCATCTTGACCCAGTTGTATTTAGCCGTGTACGGCCATGAAGACCCATCGAATCTTATTCTCCTTCTTTCGTGGTTCCCCTCATTCATATCTCTTTTGCTTTTGCTCGCAATTCGACCAATCAAAATCCGCAAACATCCCGATGAGCTAAAAGTGCTTTACCACTTGCTTTACGTCTCCATACTTCTGGCTTTGTTTATCTTGTTCTTGACCTTAATGCAAAAACAAGTGGTTTTCTCTCACACTGGATATGCGAGTGGCGCTTTCGCCATTTTGGCCTTGTTGGCTCTCCCCCTTTTGATCACTGTTAGAGAAGAGCTCATGCTCTACAAACTCAACAAACAAAACAATGACCCATCCGTCATCGTTTCCATCGTTGGCGAGCAGAAGCTCCCGATGGTAACCGTGCCCCAGAACACGCCGCCGACGTCCACGCTGCAAGAAATTACCGAAATCTCGCCGTCCTGCCTCGAAAACATATGCAACAAGCCTGAAAGAGGGGAGGATTTCACCATCTTGCAAGCCATCTTCAGCGTAGACATGGCTCTTGTCTATCTCGCCACCTTTACTGGCTGTGGCTCCTCCCTTGCTTCCATTGACAACATAGGCCAAATTGGTGAGTCTCTTCACTACCCAACTCAATCCATAGCCATTTTCGTCTCTTGGGTTTCCGTTTTCAATTTCTTCGGCCGCGTCTTCTCCGGCTTCATCTCCGAAACCCTCATGACCAAATACAAATTACCTCGCCCTCTCATGTTTGCTTTTTCCTTTCTCCTCACTTGCATCGGCCAGCTCTTCATCGCCTTCCCATCTCCTGGCTCGGTCTACGTCGCTTCCTTGATCATTGGGTTCGGGTTCGGAGCCCAAGTTCCCCTGTTGTTCGCCATAATCTCCGAGCTCTTTGGTCTCAAACGCTACTCAACGCTCTTTAACTGTGGACAACTGGTGGTCCCGTTTGGATCCTATATACTAAACGTGGATATAGTGGGGAAGTTGTACGATATTGAAGCCATAAAAGAAGGTAGTAAGAAGACTGGCAAGGGGCTAACTTGCACCGGGGCTCATTGCTTCGGCTGGTCTTTCACAATTTTGGCATCAGTGACATTGTTTGGAGCTCTAGTTGCGCTTGTGCTGGCTTATAGGACTCGAGAGTTTTACAAAGGCGACGTATATAAGAAATACAGAGAGGACATGTGGATTCCACAATCGGAAATGGAATTCTATAGGTTAGATAACAAGAAGAACATTGATGATTGAAGTAAACATTTGTAAGGAGAGAAGAGGAGAGAAAGAGAGAGGGAGCGACAAATAGGACTTTACCATTTTACAAAATTGTTTGATATGCTTATATATACCCATATCTTATTGATGTATTTTTTATATGTTGTAGTTGTAACTTTTATGTGAGTTACACGTGCTTTATGATATTTTTAGATTTTGGACATTTTGAAAATGCTGAAAGAAATTTTAAATTCTCATTTTAATAGACTAAATATTTTGTTTTTAATTCTTTTTATTGTAGAAAAAAAGGAGAACTTTCAAAATTTCAAATTATCACTCTTTGTTATAGTTCGTAATATCCACAAAAAGAAGAAAATTTTTAGCCAAAGCGAGTATACTTCAACAGCATATATCTCCAACCAAGAGACAGTGAGTTTAATTATCCATTCCATATATTATAGAAGAAGAAAATTGTGAACTTTCAACATTTATAGAAAGCTCTTAAATTTCTAATAAAAACAAAAAAGTTGAGTATAAATTTCATTTTTCTTGGGTGAAATGTCTATTTAAATTTCTTAACTTCCAAAAAATGAACCCTACAGTAAAATTTCTATAAATAAACTAACAAGCTGGACACGGTTGTTGTGTTGGTATGGGTTGGCCATAACATGGCTTAAATAGAATGCTAAACAAACACTTCAGGTACTTAGGTATCGAGTCGTGAAGCTACAAGGAATTTGATTAAAGTGGTTGGTGTTTATTGAGCTATGGTTTATGAGCTATAGTGTTGAGAATTACAAATTATTTTCAATCATTCATAGTGTCCTTGGCCTCGATATTGGGATTATGGCATTATGATTTAATCTCTATAAGACTTTGATTGAGAATAATGATGTTAGCATCATTTGAGAAATTAGACTATTATTTAGAAATTACTTTCAGATCACAATATGATTTCGTACTCACAGTGACTTTTCCTATACACTCACTCGAATATATTTCTGCAGTGTATATGTGATTAGGCTTGTTTACGCTGTGTATCATGAGTTTATCCGATGTATAGTATGATTAGTGTACTCCTACTATGTGTCTTGAGTAGGGGTGAGCATTAGTCGGTCGGAGTCAATTTTTGGCTTACCTTGACATAAAAAACCAACGATTTTTTTTTTAATTATGTTTGTACCGACTGATCCAGCATCGATTCGATCAGTAAGTTTTTATCAGTGAAACCCGATACTTAAATATTTTATAAAGAATCGGAAGGAGGTGGGGGTGCAGGGCTATGGCGCTACAAAACGAAGAAGAAGATAATAGTGAGAGTGGGATGCATCGATGGAGCTAAGAAGTGGGAAGACGAAGAAGAAGGATGCCGTGGAGTAAGCAGCACCGCTAGGAGGAGGAAGAAGAAAAGAAAAAAATGGAGGAGAGAGATGAGGAGAAGAAAATGATAGGAATAAAACAAGCTAACAAATATTATCTCAATCACAATTCCAGACAATATATGCTAACTAATCCCAGATCAGGTTCTGGTTCCGATTATAACGGAAATAAATCAAATCAGAACTATGCTCAAAGAGTAGATAAATCAACCTAAACCTCAAGTAACAAGAACAATAAAATATAGGGAAGAGAAATCGACACCGGATTTATACTGGTTCACCCAATGTGGGCTACGTCCAGTTCTCTGCTACCGTTGCAGGTTCCACTAAATGTCAAGAGAATCTTCAAGAGTTTACAACGTTCTATAATGATTTCTCTCACTTTTCTCTCAAAGAAAAATGCTCACGAATCACTCTTATAAGCTTCTAAAATTCTTCAATGGAAACAAAAACTTACAGAGCTCACGTTTTTCTTCTCTGTGAAGCCTCACCAACAAACTCTCACCAAACCCTCTCTCTGTAAATTTCTCTCACTTGATTCTCTCTCTAGGGGTTGTTAAAATCGTGGGCGGCAGACACTTACTTTTTAACAAAAGAAAATTGCCAACTTAATCAAGAAGAAATAATGTAATGGGCCTTTTTTTTATTTAAGCCCATTAAGCCACCTTCATTCTTTCTTTTAATTTGGCTCCATTCTAAAAAATCTCCCACTTGGAGACAAAACAAGCATCACGTCTCTTCTGCAATGGTAGCGGCTCCTCTCTACTCATGGAGAAGTCCAACTGAAGTTGCGCACAACTTCAGTTTATCAACAGGGACGGCCTTCGTAAACATATCGGCTGGATTCTCAGTTCTTGGAATCTTTTCAAGCACCAGCATCCCATCTTCCAAAGTTGATCTGATAAAATGGTACCTTATCTGTATATGTTTCGTTCTCGAATGAAATACAGGATTCTTTTGTAAATGAATAGCGCTCTGACTGTCACAATAAGTCTCTTTTCCCAATTTCAAACCAAGTTCTTTTAAAAAGGACTGAAGTCATATCATCTCTTTACTTGCCTCAGTAACTGCAACATACTCGGCTTCTGTAGTAGAAAGTGCTACTGTCTTCTGCAATCTAGAGACCCAACTAATAGCAGTATTACCCAAAGTAAATACCTACCCGGTAGTACATTTTCTGTCATCTGTATCACTTGCCATATCTGCATCAACATAGCCCTGCAATTTAAAATCTGACCATTTAAAATGTAAAGCATAATCAGTCGTTCCTCTCAAGTATTTGAAGATCCACTTCACAGCCTCCCAGTGCTGCTTCCCTGGATTATTCATATACCTGCTAACAACTCCCACTGCATGCGCAATATCTGGTCTTGTGCAAACCATGGCATACATCAGGCTACCTATAGCTGAAGTGTACGGAATTCTAGCCATATAATCTCTTTCTTGCTCAGTAGTGGGTGAGTGCTCCTTAGATAATTTAAAATGACACGCTAAAAGGAGTACTCACAGGTTTTGCATCTCCCATGTAAAATCTGTTTAGCACCTTTTTTACATATTCTTCCTGTGACAATGTTAACGTACCATCTTTTCTCTCGATCCTCATCCCTAGGATTTGTTTGGCAGCTCCCAAATCTTTCATATCAAATTCTCCAGATAATTCAACCTTTATCTTTAGAATTT